TAAGTAAATCCCGATGATGGGTCGGCGGCGATCTGCAGGTCGTTTGCTGAATTTTGGTGGACCCACTAATCTACTCGAGGCTTAATGGCTGTAGCGAAAGAATTTCTAAATTTAAATTATATCCTCGTGACTAATGCTAAGAATTATATGATAGTTTCTAAAATTGTATAAGTCATATCTATGTGAATATGAATCTTGATTAAAACCTGAATCCACAAGACGGGATATTTATAAAACAATGCCGAACGAAGCGAGGCAAAACATAATAAATGTAAAACTGAACTTGAAATGATCCGAAAATTGTTGTATTAGTTATTTTCAAAACTTACCCTTATGATTTGTGCCTATTAAATAGAAAGAATGTCAATAAAGCCTTTTAATTCTAATCAAATAAACATTATTCTACTGCTTCACTTAATTTTTTAATTCTTAGCTAAAACCGGATGTCGAAGTTTAAATTGCATCCTTATTATCGTGAATCTTGATTAAAACTTTAAATTTGCAATACAGTATAAGATAATTAATAAACTGTTTTGAAATGATGAAAAGATGTTGAGTTTAAACTCGGCCGAGCGAAGCGAGACCAAATATAAAACATGTAAAGCTAAAATAAAGGCAAGAAATATAGAAAAAAATAAATAGAAATACCAATTTACGATATATTTTTTGATTTCGATTAATCATGAATATCAAATTGTCAATGCCATTTTAATACTTTATACTGCTACATGTATTTAATTATTAGTTGGCGGCGAAGCCGCCACTTGATCATTCGCTAGTTGATAAAACCATCTTATGCTTAGTTCTAAAAAAAATTCCTTCTGGATGTTTTAATTCATTAGCTATATATTATATTAGGGATTAGAACCGTTATTCGTTTAACCGCCTATATTCGTTTGTTTATGTTATACGATTAAACGAGTAAACAATTATATAAATGATTAAAAATCGGTCAATTATCCAGTTACTATTTTTAAACGGATCTTCTTTAGTATAGGTGGGCATATATAAATTTTTACAAGATTATAATATATAAAATCTAACTAATTTGAGCTAATTTAAATTATAACCTTAACCCTGACCCTAATAAGTTTTAAAATTACTTAAATTAGTTCAAAATACTTAATTTATATATATTATAATTGTAAAATAATTATATATGCCCATCTATACTAAAGATCAACCCATCAACTTTCTTTATTTCCACTTACCCGACTAGTATCAAACGTCTGGCACCCGGTTTTAAAATATAACCGATAATATTAGTTACACTTTGCACATTTTCATTCTTATAGAACTAAAATTTATCCAACGCTAGCATACATTTAGTGATGGTTATGCTTCTTATTTTATTCTTGCCAATTCTTTAAGAACTGTTTGTCTTACACCAGGCTTTAAAATAAAATACCGCTCATTATTGCGAATGACACAACCCCCAAAAAAATTTAGATTGAACATTGAGATCGGACCAGGAAGGGTTTGTGGCTATAATGAGTAAAATTTCACATTTTTAATTAGTGCCTCTTTCGTAATATATATAAGCTGAACACATTTGGGCCTGACCTTCGATTTAAACACACATAATAAATAGAAGGTATAAGTCCAATACCATTCGCACGTTTGCGGTATTTCACCAACCTCACGAACTTCATAAATAAATATTAAGAGCGAAGACTTAACATACCAGTTTTAGATGCCAATGCTAAATGATCTTGATAATTATTGTTATATACAGTTAGATGACTAAACGATGATACGAAATGGTTAATAAACGTTAAACAGTTAAGCGATAATAAACGATTAAAATGGCTAAACAGTTAAACGATTAATAAATGATTAAACGATTAAAAACAATTAAGCGATTAATAAACGGTTAAACGATTAAGGATTAATAAACGGTTATAGGATTAATAAACGACTAAACGATACAATTAAACGATTTGAACACAGATACAGATGTAAGTGGCACATATATTTATATGGTTTGGAATAAAGGAGAAGAGGGGCTAAATCCCATTATAGAAATTGACTTTGTGGTTGGTGACAGTAATCAAATTGATGAAAAAAAAGGTGCTTCGTGGGCAACAGTCAATCATGATTTAAAAGGGTGATCGTGGAAAATATATATATGGTTCCTATTTTAAATGATAGTTATTTTTTCTTTTAACGTGATACTTAGGCCGCTCAAAGTTAATTAGTTGAGAAGGGGAAGGCACACAACATTAAATCTGGTTGTGACCCGAAACCCTTTCCAAAACTCTAACACTATATTATTGGTTTAGAAGCTTAAACCTAACCATTAATAATTAGATTGCATCCAAGAATTTTGATTTCTTTTATTAAATATATTATAAAAATACAGTATTGTAAAAATGTTTTTTCACTTGTTATTAAATAATTTTATTAAATAAATTATTAAGCATCTCATAAACTTAAATGTTTCATTATAAATTCTTGGACTATTAGTTTCTCGCGGACCAGCTATATTTAAAGATTTAATTCGATTTGCCATTATCCAGCTGACTGCTGTAACTGAATTATTCTTTAAACTATTTTCATCTAAATAAACTTTAATTAATTTTTTCTGCTTTTTTAACAGTAAAAATCGTTCTATCTTTTTTGGTTCAGGATGTATAAATACTGTAAATATAAAATTAAAGCGCATCTGAATCTATAATCATCGACTGGACAAGTAGATATCTCAACAAGTTGATATTTATCAATATATATTGGACCATTTTCAGTCACTCTCAACTATTAAGTACTTATATTGTCTATTAGTTAGCTTAATCTTTCCCTTGCTATTCATGAGACTTAAAAAAAAGTATAATAAACTCTAAATCAGCTCCTTGTTGTTATTAAAAAAATGAAACTATAGCATTAGAGTATTCGAAATCGGCCAAACGGGAAATAATACAAGAACGAGACGTTTTAAGGATCAGAATTTTATACCGAAATAAGTTACAAGTTACGATTAATTGATTAACATTGACCAATATTTCACTCTTAAAAAAAAAAAAAACATTTACCAATATTAAACAGATTTTTAATGTTAGAGTTAGATTGAGAAGGGTTAAAAGGAAGATTTAAATAAAACCTATACCAAAATTATATAATTTTTTCTTAGAGATCAAGAGCAGCAGCTTTATAGGCAAATTTTTGACTTTTATCTTTTGTTGATCAAACCTGTCACATACCCTAGACTATAACGATAACGCATTGTAATTGATGTTGCACATGATCATTGTTAAGCTAGGCCGAAAGCTATGTAAAAATTGTCAATGTTATGACAAAAAATCAATAAAAAAAAAAAGAATAAACTTGATTTGCAAAGAGGCCGAGTGAAGTGAGGCTAAGAGCTATATAAAAAATTATCAAAGTTATAGCAAAAAAAATAAATAAATAAAAATAAAAAAATAATCCAAATTTGCAAAAAGGCCAAGAGCTATATAAAAAATTGGCATAACAAAAAATAAAAAATAAAAAATAAAAAAATGGTTTCATAAATTTTAAAAAATCTTTTTGATTTACTAAAACAAAAAATCAAATAATCAATAATTGATAATATCACATAATTATTACACTGCTATATCTAATTGAAACTGGGCAGCCGCATGTGCAATTTTTTTAGAATTTCAATATTACATTATGGATACGTAATAGATTGAAACGAATATTTAAAGAATTTGTAAAGAAATTATAAATTATTTTTCAGTTAAAAAAATTTAATATATTTTGATAGAAGATTTATAATTGTACAGTACAAGAAGTGTATGGTATACTGTATTGGAGAATAAACCGAAGGCAAAATCTTAAAAGTTGATAGGATTATATAGACTGTTTTTTGTAATGGCTGCTGCATTGTCTCATTAGTTGCAGGTTTTTCTTGGTTATGATTGTTAAGTGACGAACTGATATAAGCTAGTTAATAGTAATAGTAAGAGAGTATTGTCATGTCAGTTCAACACGAAGTCAGTAGGGAAAAATGAAAAGGATGTGTTTGTAGGCAAAGCAGCAAAATTATTTTGTAAATTTGAAGAATTAATTCTAGATGCAGTGTATTCAAGGGTGTAGAGGGGAGTTATCTTTCTCTTTGCTATCCCAGTGATTTGTGTTACGCAAAATAACGTAACATAGTTAACAATTAGACTTTCGGCTGTGTAACATTATAATAATTAGTTTATAATTAAGTAATGGTCAAAGCGCAATCGGTACAGCTCGCTTCACCGACGCTCATTCCGTAGAAATAACATTTCACCAACTATTCACCGACAATTATTTCACCGACAAGTTTATTTCACCGACAAGTTAATTCACCGACAGTTTATTTCACCGAAGCTCATTTCACCGACAAAATAATTCTGGTCATTGTCGTTAAGGTCGGGTTAGAATTAGAGTTAAGGTTGGTGGGATTTATAAAAAAAAGCTTGTATTTGAAATGAGCTTCGGTGAAATAATTGTCGGTGAAATGAACTAGTCGGTGAAATAAACTTGTCGGTGAAATAATTGTCGGTGAATTTTTGTCGGTGAAATGTTATGTCTACGAAATGAGCGTCGGTGAAGTGA